TTTGCATAGTCGGATGTGCCACACTGAGTGATTTCAATCAGCTGATCATTCGTTTTTATAGCCATGACTTAAAAGGTGACTATGTGTCAGCAGCATTTTGCTAGACACTAACAGGTTCAGAATTTGTAAGTCATCCTAGGTGTGCTCTGGGTCAATCAAACTTCAGGTATGAAAATCTGAATAAACTGAACAAATGTTGCAAGAGCTAGACAAGCACATTGCTGAGAACTTAAAACAAAGTTTAAGAATTTTTGATTTTATAAAATTAAAACTACACATGCATCTTTTGGAGTATATAGCATGGGGCATGGGATTTAGAATCAGGAGCACTGAGTTTTGAGTCTTTGAATTGAATGTAACCCTGACTTCATGGTCTATAATTTGTGATGTATGTAAGTATGTGTGTGTGTGGGGGAGGGGGTTCAAGGTGAATATGTGTATGCATATATGTGTGGAGGACAGGAATCAGACAATCTTAGGTGTTCTTCAGGAGTCACCGCCTGGCTTGTTGAGATAGGGTCTCTCTTTGGCTTAGAACCTGCTAAGCGAGACAGGCTCTTTGTCAGGAATCCCCAAGGATCTGCTTATTCCTACTTCCTTAGTATCAGGTTTGCAAGCACCATGTATCACCACACCTGGGCGGGAATTAAACTCAGGTCTTCAGTCTTGAGTGGTAAGCACTTAACAGACTGACCTATCTCCTCAGACATCATCTATAACTTTTAGAAGGCAATCAAAGAATGTTAAAGAATTATGTTCAAGTGTCCAAGATTTAACCATCTCAAGCCTTGCTAGAATCAAGAATGTAGTGTGGGCCCAGGGTCTATGTGTGAAAGATAGATACTCATGATTTATACTGGGATTACACCCTCCAGTAAGCCCATCAGAAGCTGAACATTCTATATGGTGAAAATGCTTTTGATACTTCTGAGTTATTGAACATCACTGATTAGACTCTTAAAAGAGAAAAGAGTGGTGTTCTACCTACTTCCATTTGCCAACATCACCTAACACAAAACCCATTTTATAATAAAGTATTAAATAGCTCATATACATGCAGATGGTCATCTTTCAGAAATTATGGGAAACAAAAAACACAATATCCAAAATCTCAATTATATCATGGGACTGCCTGGGAGCAATGACTCACTGTCATTGCCTAAAATCACAGAAAAGAGCTACAGTCCTCTAAGTTATCCAAATGAGAAACTCAGAGTGAAGCTTCTACTGAGTGAGCACAGCTTTGACACAATCATAAAGCTGAAAGGAGTTAGTCAGACCATGCTAAGTTGAGAGCCATTTGTACAGCTATGTAACACAAGGCTATTTGCATGATACAGAAAATAAATTATTTTTAACAGATTACTTCTAACATACTTCTAACAGTATGCCAAACACATAAATTGGTTCTTTTGCCTATCACATTTAAGAGGAATGGTCATGCAGCAGAAAGCTTGTTAGGAACAAGGCAATGCCCCCCCCCCCATTCCTCCTCAAATCCATAGCTTCATATTCTTTAATTATTATCATTACACACATGTGTATACATTCACACACATATTCAGACATACAGTCTGATCAGCTCATTTAAGTGTTGCTCATATATATGTGATTAGGGCTGACCACTTGGAATTGGATAATCGGGGCTCTTTCCTGGAGGAGACTTTCTCCTACTCTCAGTAGGAGCCTGTAGCTCTTCTAAAGGTAGGCTTTTGTGAGATTTCCCCCATCCGTGTTTGCTTATCAGTTGGTGTCATCATTGTTCAGGTCTTGTTAAGACAACAACATTGCTGAGATTTCCTGGGTGCAGATTCCCTGTCTTCTACATTCTTTGGTCTCCTCACTCCTATAATCAATCCTTCTGCCTGTTCTTCTGAGATGTTCTATGAGATTTAAGTGCAGAAATTCTGATGTCAATATATCAAATGGGGTTAGGTTCCCCATGGTCAATTCTTCTCTGGATTTTGACTGGTTGTAAAGGTTTCTGCTTGCTGTATTTCTTTGATGCTACATTAATCTCTGGGTATAAGTATTTAGAATGGAATTATCATTTATAGTGCTTTAAGAAGTAGCAGTAGTGGTTTGTAGTGAGATAGTCCTTCTGTGGCACTGACCACGCCCATTGGGGGTGGAGCGATGGGCGGAGGTGACCTGAGGAAGGAGGTCGGAGGGAGAGCCAGGAAAAGCTCTTTTGCTGGCGTGACTCGGACAGGAGAGGATTGGGTTGAATTTCCTGGTGTTCATCTGTCTAGGTTGTAAGTTATTTCTCCCTGAATAAACATCTGTTCGGCCTATTTGTTTATCCTGATCCTTATTTAACCGCATTAGTGATTCTCCTTTAGGGTTCATAGCCTCGCCAGGCAAGGGGAGTGGCTACATCTACAGGACTAGGCATGAATTCCATCCTATTGAGCAGTCCGTACATCCAATTAAATGACTGTTGCTACCCTGTGATATAAATGCCACTTACTTTCCTTTTGGGATATCTTGTCATTCTGGTCATAAAGCTTTGTGAGTATCACAGCTGGGTAAGACATTTCTCCCTTGGCAGCTTATATGGTTCCTCTTGTGATTATAAGTCCTCCATCAAACATGTGTGTTGTCTTCAGCAATAATGACTCAATTTCTAGGAGGCAACTGAGGACAATGACAAAAAAGGGAGCTGTGTTTTTGATGAGATAAAAATTGAGCCATTTCCCTGAATCTCAAACAGGGTTGAATTGCTTCTTGGCATTTTTGCTAAAATCAAATGTATTATCTGTTCTTATCAGTTTAATATCTAATGGGGTTGAGTCTTTGATTTGAGTGAACAGAAAATAAAATGGCAACATCATAATTCCAAAGTGGGTTTAGGAAGTCCTTGATCATTCTAGCAATGATTAAAATAATTAAGCACCTTTTGAGAGCCAAGTCCATTGCCAAGTATTTGCATGTAATCCACAGAATAAGCATCTCTGTGTTACCTTGGTGACCAATGAGGTTCACAAATGCTTAGTAACTTATACAAAAAAAAAAAAAAAAAAAAAAAAAAAAAAGGCAACAAGGGACAATTCAAACCTGTAGAAGAGCATGATGACACACTTCTATATCTCCAGTTATTCAGAAGGCAGGAGAGGCTGGACATTTTTCTTGATCCCCATGACTTCAAGATGAGTAAGGACAATGTAACAGATCCTATGTAGCTCTAGTTAGCTGGCTCAAACAAACAAATAAGCAGTGAAACAGACCCAGGATCGCTTTTGATATGATCTTTATTAAAGAAAATTCAAAGGTAAATAAGGCCCGAAGACTCTGAGTAGACCAAGCATGCTAGGCTCTAACTTGCTGAATTATGTTGTTGGCTCTATTGTTGTTTTTGTTGGATTGAACCTAAGGCTTTGAACATGCTAAGCATGAGCTCTACCATGGAGCTACACTCTTGGCCACAACCTTGATTACTTACACAAGAATAAGTATAACTTAACTTGGTCTATGCCTTATAAATGCTTATAAGAAAAACAGAACTTAGGCTCAATGAGTCAGAAGCAACAAACAAACTCACAATTATATAACTAGGGACTTTCCAATGAGGTAGACCAATTACAACAACTGTATGACTATAACCAAAGATTTTCTATGTTTTACTTCTGTGCTTGTCCTGCAAAATACTCAGTTTACATTCTCTTCTAGGAACTTCTGAGCCACTTCTAGTTTGAACCTGTCCAATCCATGATGACTCACTGATCAAATTAACTTTATCAGGCCTTTCTTTATCATTCTTTATTCACCCCAAGAATATGAACTACCATAAAGTGTGAATGTCTATTCTTTTTGGTTGTCTTTCTTAATATTTGTTTCTCAATAGATCTGTGCATGGTACTAGAACCCTTAAGTTTCCTGACTTTTATATCTAGAAAAAAATTATTAATTATCACAGATCTCTTCACAACAGCACTCCAAAACAGCAGTCTCAACCATAATTAACAAAATACCTGTTTGACATATCTGTCACAATACCTTGTTAATGACCATAAATAGCCCATAGATACCATATTTTAATGATTTGCTTCTGTTTGGGTTTTCAATGATATATTTTGAGACTTCAATGAGAAGACCATCCATCCTTTTAAGTTAAGCATCCTGCACACAGCATACTACACAACACAATGAACACCAGTGAGGTTTGTTGAATTGAACAAAGCTAGGTACTTTTATTGAAACCTATTTGACTCCCCAAGTGCCGCCACAGATTATTGCTTGATAATGAAAATAGCTAATATTTATTGAGCACTGATTCTGTCCCATGTGCTAAGGCAGGCAGTTCACTTATACTGATTTAACCAAAATAACAATTTCCTGTGATGACCATGTCCCCAGTTTACAGTAATGGTGTTGAAATTCAGAGACAGCACATGTTATTTGTATAAGGTCACAGGACCCAACCCAATTATTCTAACCCATAAAACTACACTTTGAACCACTAGCTTAGCTGTTCATAAAAAAGTCACATAGGAGCCTGGTAAAATAACTGAGTGGGTAAAGAGCCTTGGAGCCTAAGAACCTTAGTTTGGGTCCTGAAAGGAGAAAGTGTAATTGAAAAGTGTCCTGTGACCTCCATATTCATGCTTAGCAATATATATGCTGCCACTCATAATAATGAATAGATAAAAATCTTAAAAGAAAAAGATTCATAAAATAAATATAATATATTTATAAAATAGTTATAATATCATAGTATACCTACATGAATATTACTATACCACTTCCCAATATAAATATGTGAGAACTATGCCAGTTGATGTTTGAATTTTACTTCAAAACATTTTCAAGTATATTTCATTGTACTTCCAGTGTGTGTGTGTGTGTGTGTGTGTGTGTGTGTGTGTACTACACACACAAATGAAAACAGCATTAGTGTCTTAGACAAATGTCCATTTTCCAGTTTGTCCCATCATAGCTGCTCCAGGCTCTATCCTGTGTGTCAGTGAGGTACATAGACAATGAACACTAACCCCTAAAAGTACTCACAGCCGAGCAGAGAGACAGATACATGCTTACATGAGCACTGTGGGACTGCCATCTAGAGAGTCAAGTGACATCTGCCTGGGCAAATGAGGTTTGCCTAAGAGACTCTTGCACAGTCAAGAAGAATCACCTGGGAAGGAAATGAAGAAGGAGCTATCACAGGATGAACACAGGGAAGATGATGCTTTGGAATGTAAATTCAGGCCATAAGAGGCATGACTGCTAATTTTAAAGTCCACAGAATATATCTTTTATCTCTCACAAGATGGCCTCAGATCCTTCCAGACAGAACATCAGCAAGTCTGGAAACATAAGAGTTCCAGGCGCTAAGCCGACCATTGTAAATATCCTTCTACACCAACACATGGAACTATTCATCTATTTATTTATTGTTTTAATGCAGTGATTGATCATGGCCGTTGAGGGGAATCATGAGGTTCTTAGAATTTCAGCACACCTTTTAGATACCCTGAGGGCCCGCCCTCTGAAATCAATGAAATGCCTTGTGAGTATATTCTTTCAGAAATGCGACCTTCAAAAACAGGCATATAATTTCCTTCAATTTCCTATGGAAGGCATTATTCAAATGTCCTCAAATGACAGATGGTCTAATAATTTGCAAAAACGTGCTCCTTGCACTCTGAGGTCAGTCATGTTTTACTCGAAAGTTTATACTCACACAAGTGCCATCTGGAGCCCACATCCTCCATCTTCAAATAAATCCTGATTTACCTCAGAAATGTTTGCCAAGAGTCTGTGTGCTGGAGAAATGGTTAATTTCTCTCTCCTCTCTGAGAGTGTCTTTGCAATATATGAAACATAGTAGACATGTAATAAATGATTGTCCCCTGAGATGTGTTAGGAGTCAAAGGCTGGGCACCCCAAGCTGCAGGTTTTCTCAAGAGAAAGGGAGTGAATCTGACAAAAAAAAAAAAAAAAAAAAAAAAAAGAAAATCTTTCTTTCTTTCTTTCTTTCTTTCTTTTCTTTTCTTTCTTCCTTCCTTCCCTCCTTTCTTTTAGTCTTTTTCTTTCTGGCGGGAATATCACAATCCACATAAAAGTTCCCCATGTGGCATGTGACTCAATACCACAGCAGTTTCATCACCAAACACTTTCCAGCTCATGGAATTTGTCAGTTGGAGACACACTGTGATCTGATGGTGTATCTGAACAGAAAAACAAAACAAAGCTCCAAAGAGACAGATGAGTGGGGCTCAAGATACTGATTAGTGGGCACAACACTTGCATGTAAAGATAAGGATCTGAGTTCAGATCTCCAGAATCCATATAAAGCAGGACATAGCAACATATATCTGCAATCCTGGAACACTCAGGTAAGATGGGCACACCCCACACACGGAGTGGGGAGGTGGATGCTTGAAGAGGAATGTTTAGACCCTGAAGGCCTTGTGTAACTATTTTGTTCTTCATGTAGCCTGAGCATACTTTTGGTGGGCTTGACCCCACAGCCTGGTGGTATGTTTGTGGCTACCACCTTACAAAGGGGAATAAAGGACCTCAGTGTGTATGCTTTCTCTCTGGGTCAAAATGATTTCTCTAGTAATTTCAAGGTGTTACTCAAGCTGAGATCTGGATCTAACATATGCAAGAAAATGCCTTAAGTTTTTCAGACAAAGTCAAGAAATGAAGCTCTGTGTGTGTGTGTGTGTGTGTGTGTGTGTGTGTGTACACAAGCATGGGTGCACCTGCTTGTGAGTGCCCTTGTGCGCTTGTACACACATGCAGCTGCTGATAGCCAATGAATCCACAGTAGCTCTGAGCAGTGAGATGCTTGCCAGGACCGGAAGTGAGCCACTCCTATACTTCATATTGAGTTCCTTTAAAAGCAGGAAGTACCCCTTCCTCTTTAAACAGGAGTGTCAACAGTGGCCAGACTCTTTCTCAAGCTTGATTCATAGTCTTTTAAGTCAATTCCTGGTAGGAGGTGAGTCCTACACATGGTTTTCTTTTCCAGAATCAGGGAAATGAGTAACTCCTAAGTATTGGGCCAGGAGGAACACCCAGGACTTTAGCAGGTTTTTCACTTTCTGAGAGGAAGAGTTATAAATATGACACTAAGTCACCCAGAGTTAGTTCTGTTATGTAGCAACAACATTGTACCATATTTCTTTTAGAAAGAATCTATTCTACCTATTTCAAAAAATAAAATCATAACAATAACAGTCTAAAGAATACATTTTCTTACTAAAACCACTTTTCTTGCATGTTTAATTTCTAAATATTTTCAAAATCATTTTTTACAGGGGCCACTTACTAATTCACAGAATCTTATGAAAGACAGTGAGTAGAGTCAATCTGGAACATACATCAGTATTGCTGATAGGAAAGACCCAACTTTGAGTCTTGATTCTCCCTGAAGTGTGAGCAATGTGTAAATTAATGTGATAGCATTTACTGAGAGCTTGCTTCATAGCAGGATAGTCATTAAGTCCTTTACAAATGTTAATTTAAAATCCTCCTTACAAACCTCCTCACAAGCAAAGGCCTCCTTACAGGCCTTCCACAGAGCAGGATCAAGTGGCAAGCTGAAATCAGTAAAGGAACTTGATCTGGTCCATACTCATCTTCACCATTGCATCATTGTCATCTCCAGACATTGGAAACTGGTCCCCTAAAGTCTTGTTTCTTCCTACTCTTGGGCTTGAGGCTCCCTACCAACGTCACTCCTTCTTGCTCTTCACATCACCCCTTAAATGTTCCTGCTTCAAGACTAGTGCTCCTGACATGCACTCTCTTGACAAAACAAACTCCATAATCAGAATGGAGGTGGGTTATTTTCACAACTCAGTTCCACATTTGCCTTCTTGTCCTCAGCTGAGGCTACACCAGGCCCTGCATCAATAGGTCTCACATTCTGTGCTGTGAAGGGCTGACTTGTGAGTGCTATACCATCCTATCCTCTTACCATCAATATGCCAACTCCTATCAGCTCATTTCCAACCCTGTGGTGTTCAAAGTGACAATGAACAAGGGACAAAAGTAGCTGTTCAACTTCAGTATGAGATTTGCTTGGGAAAAGGGTACTCTGGAAGATTCTTCCATCTTGTGACTTTTGAACTAGCCGCTTTAGTCTGCCCAAGTGAATATGCAGACTTCTGTGGAAGAGATGTAACTGACTTTCGATTGCAACAATATGAAACTCCAAGTTCAGGGAACTACCACCAAATAAAGAATGTGTGGTAGGACAAATCAAGAATGTGGCAGGAATGGGGTAAGTGGTCATTATTACTATTATTGTTGTTGTCTTGATAATGTCTCATTATTAGCCTTGAACTCATGACCCTCTTGCCTCAGTCTGCCGAGTTCTTAATTCCAGATGCATACTTGTGAATTTCATTGGCTGAGATAAGAGACTGCTAAAGTGTGTGTTCTAAGGTACATGAATTACACATAACTTCCTTTAGAAAGGGTAATATCCCTTCAAATTCCACAGATAAAGGAAATGCTGCCACAAGCCCTGCCTTGGAATTTTACAATGCTTATTAGCCCATTAGAGAAGCCAAAGGTCATGGAAGGGAGGGCTTCAGGGGGAGATGGGGTTGGCCATTGCACATCTATCTAAATTTACTTACATGTTTAGCTGTAGAATGCTGTCTTAGATTAGCAGCACCAAAAGCAAATCTTGAGATAAGGATTTAAAATAAGCAGTTTTGTTTAGAAGGTGAACATATAAGAAGTATTAGCAGGGGAGACGGGAAGCTAGGCCTGAAATAGAAACCAACTCAAGTTGCTTAAAGGAGCTGATTTAAATCTTTGGACACCCAGTACTTGGGACTGTGTTGATAAATGTGCTTCACAGATGTCGTGGAGCAAGTAGCTGGTTATTTACCCACTATTGCTTAGCAGCCATAGTAAATGGGCAGCCTCTCCTGGGGAATGGAACAAACTCTATGGTCTTTCCAGGATACCTAGCACAACACTGAGAGCATTACCTCAGTGATAATGGTCACAGCAGGTGCTTGCCATGGTGCCTTCAAGTCATTGTGCAGGAGCACTGACAGTGTTGATGGGAAAGTGATACAATAATCTGTGAAGCTTCTGTCCTTCACCTTTTTTCTATTTCAGATTGGGATCACAGTAAGGCTTGGTAGAAGTAGTATTTGAGAAACAAAAATTGAAGAACAGAATGTGCCCAATGCATGTGATCAGTCTTCTGAATTCTAAAAAGCTCTGATTTAGCTTGACACACAGAGACAACATTATTCTATAGCTGGTAAAACTCCAAAAGGAATTCCCATAAATGCCACCAAATACCAAGCAAATAAACTTCAGGCTCAGCGGGAACAGCCTTGGACAATCACAGCATGTACGGTGCTGCCACACGAAAGAGGCTTCAAAACTACAGATGTAGTCAGGCTCTAACTTTGCCTGTCTGTGAAACAGTAGCCATCGGTTGTCAGCCATGGGCAGAGAGGGGTATCCTACCTGAGCCCCTGGGAAGGATTAGCACAGGATGTAACTTGACATAGGCATAAAGGCTATGTATGAGGACCCTTTCTTTGCAAAACTACGTTCTGCTAAAGTCCAATAATATCATCACTGTAGAGAAAAACAACTGTAGAGAGGTAAGCATAACAAAGACCTTAGAAAGGACAATGAGGAGGGAGGAGAATGAAGTCAGGCAGAGTGATCCAGAATGACATCCTGGAGGAAGAAAACTATTAGCTGACCCCACCTTGATAGGATGGAACAAGTGTGTGTGTGTGTGTGGGGGGGGGGGATGAGTACAAAGACTCCCATAATGAGAACACAACTGGAATAGTTCAGGAACAGAAAATGGGTTGTGAAATATCAAGACAAAAAGCAGTCTATGATTAGAGAAAGTTAGGCAAGGAAGGCTGCAGTCAGAAGCTGCCAGTGTGTGTGGTGTGTGTATGTATGTATGTCTGCATATATGGCTCTGTGTGTGTGAGTGTGTGTAGAGGCCAGCCTTAGATGTCACTCCTCTGGTGCCATTTATATTTTTCATACAGTCTTTTACTATCTAGGCTGGCTGGCCAGGGAGTACAAAGAATCCAGGAGTTCCATTCCCCAGAACTGGGGTTGATGACAAGTGTGCTCCAACACCACGATCCCCTTCTTTAACAGAGGTGGACATTTAATATATTCTTTCTCAAATGTCTTGTTTTGTAAGGAAGCAGCTTCCCAAACCAGCAAATCACACTCATACTA